CCCCCCCCCCCCCCTCCTTTAATATCCATCACACACAGATAGTTTACAGTTTCTTTATCGTGTCTTCAGTTCGGGTTGTAGTTGAGTTGACTTATTTTAAAATTTTAAAAGCTGAAGTGAAATCTGGTATATTTTTACATTTATTATGAACTCTAAACCAACTGAACACAGTAGAATGATGGTGAGCACCTGCAGGGAGTCGAACCTGTACCCAGCAGTGTGTTAGTGCCTTGCTCAGCGGCCTCTGACTGTCCCCTCTGTCTCCTCCTCAGTATGTAACTTCATGTGTCACGAGAAATGCCTGAAGACGCTGCGTTCAGTGTGTTCCTGCATGACTCCATCTGTGGTGCGGGTGAGTAACGAACTACCTTACAGACAACCTTAACACACCAACATGATGTTTATTGATCGGCACAGCCCCGATCACTGAGCCTGACTGACTGCTGCACCGATCAATAAAGCAGCAATAAACACCGACAGCAGCAACAGAGCGGGCTGGTGTTCACCTGCTCTCATCAGAGATTAAAGTATGAATGTTTTCTTATCATATCTGATGCTTCTGGATGAATGATGTCTGCTGCAGATGTGTAAGCTCATTTTATAATGAATTTAAAGTAAAATACCTCATTTATACTGAAAGGTTCCATATGTATAATCAGTGTGTATAATCAGGTTGTAGCAGAGAGTAAGGTTATACGTAGCGACTTCCTCTGCTGCCTATGAAATAGCTACCTTAGGTTGCTAAAGGCAAATTCTATAGATATTTCTCCCCAAACTCCTCCTCCCAAGAAGCTTTAAGAGGTCACATGAGGGTGTTCCCGTGTTTTGGATCACATACAGTCTAGAGATTGATCCTCTTAAATATGGATCCATATCGAGCCCAAAGGTTGGAGGTGAAGTCTCAGATTTGGAGATACCTGAAGAAATGAGACTGAGGGACACTGTACGCTCTCAATGCTCAAAGGGGGCTGTCTTTATTTCAGGCGTGGTGGGTCGCCTCCACAATACCTGGGTCACCTGAGTTTCTGTAAAATAAAATTATATTTTTGGGGATATAAATTAAACAAAATGTATGTATGAGTGTTAAATAAAGAATTCTTCCTCAATCAAATATTATCTGATAAAAAAACAAGATGACATTTAAAAATATATAATAAATTTGGGTTCACTTGTTGTTTTTTATTTGGGGTCGTGAGTTCGTCCATCAGCAGGACTTCTTAAACCAGCTGCAGGCCCCGTGAGTTCAGAGGCCCCTGGGCTCGGGCCCCGTCGCCTGGCGCTTGATGTTAACATGTCACGCTCTTACATAACGTGTCATGTTGTTTTAGTGATGGCTCGTGTTGCTGTCACATTCGGGGCCGGCTCGTAACCTTTAAAGCAACATTGAACCATCGAGATTCAGTCAGAAAGAATCAACTGTCTCCATCCTGTGAGCGTTGTTCTTTCTGTGGAAAACATCAAATACGTTCATTCATTTAAATGGTTCAGTGAACAAGAACAAGACAGTCACAATGTGAGAGCAAGTCAGCAGTGGAAGACGTACTCAGAATAGTCAGAAGTGTATAAATGTGTGAATGTGTGAATTTGAGAGGAGAAGAAGACTAGAAAGGTGTTAAAGTACAGCCCTTTTACTATTTATCATTCATTCTGTCCTGAGACAACTCTTGTTAGGATTTAAATAAAATCGAATTGAATTAAACTCTAAAATTTAAAACTCTGACTTTAACCTCTTTAACTTTAATCTCAGAACACAAATACAATTTTCATGTGGCCCTAATCCCCCCCCAAATGGGCGGGGCTTAACCAGGGTGTGGGTGTGGCTAACTGGAGGTCGTTCATCATGTGGCCCTAATCCTCTTCCTTAGATCTTTCACTTAAACACACTACAAGGAATTTAAAATATATTTTTAGACTCAACAGGTGAGTTACTAGGACGCCTCGTATAGTTATTCTTAATTTCGGCAACTGGGTCGATTCCCTTTGAAATCAAAGAAACAATTCAATTGAATTAAATTTTATTATACAGGCCTCAATTCATAACAGAAGTTTACTCAGGACACTTTTCAAATAACGTCTAGACTGAACTCCTTTTAACAAGGTGGTAGAAACACTGTTGTCCACAGAGGGCGCTAAAATCAACACAGAATGAAAGTTTCAGTGAAAGAAAGTTCATTAAGTTAATTTAGAGTATAAAAGTAGGTCCTGAAAGATGATTTATTCTTTATCTTAACACGAGATTTGTTATTATGGTCAGTTAATTAATAATTCATCATATTTAATAAGATCATCTGATGTTTTTGTTTGTAAAATCACAGCTGTAAAAGTAAAAATATCTGCCTGTGAGATGTTGAGTAAACTAGATGTGTCCGACTCGTGTTATATTTCTCTGTATTAACATTATATTTATGTATTGTATTATAAATATAATACCCCAATGAGCATTTACAGCCTGTTTTTAACGTTTCCTTCAGTTGTGTTAACCGGACGTTGTCGCTGCCCCCTGCAGGTCCCGGTGGCTCACTGCTTCGGTCCGGCGGGTCACAAGAAACGTTTCTGCTGCATCTGCAGGAAGCAGACGGAGGGAAGCACGGCGCTGCGCTGCGAAGGTCAGACCAGTTTCATTACCAGTTAAAACCAGATTAACCAGAATCTGATCTGTTTGTTATGTGTAAATATCAGTTTATGTACAACGGCACTGGGAGGGACAATTAGAGGAAATGATTTAAAACCTGAATGTGTATTTTTCTTTCCACTAGTCTGAAAGAAGCAAAAATAGCCCAAAATGTTACAATTGATGAGCCTGGTAAAAAGATGTTTGTGCCTGTGATGTCTCATTAATTGTTTGCTGTGATTTGAAGGTTTTTATTGAAAAAGTGTTATTATAAATGTGTTGCTTACCTTACTGTTTACACACAGGAGCCTTAACAATAAAAATATACATGCTTTGTGTGAACAGAGGAAATAAATTAATTTACATAAATATCAGATATTGTTACTAAAGGGTCAGTTCATCGTTTCCTCTCGTTGTTTCTGTCCGCTCAAACATGTTTTGTGATAGTTGACAGTAAACACTGGGGTCAGTTTTTATTGGGAACTGTTGACAGTGAGATATTGATGGATGACGAACAACAATAACATTCGAAAGAGGGAGAATAATAATCATAAAACAAAAAAACTGTGCTAACATTCATAAAACCTCACATCTTAAAACGCTGGTTTTATCTTACTGAAATGTTAAAAACTTGAAAGTTGTCCAGACAAACTTTTTTTGTTGTGACCTTTGACCTCATGTGAACTGCTGTCACTAATGTAATGTGTGTGTGTGTGTTTCAGTGTGTGAGCTGCACGTCCATGCTGACTGTGCTGCGTTCAGCTGTGCCGACTGTCGCCAGTCTCACCTGGATGTCTCTCTGGAGCAGGTGAGGAGACCCCCCCCCCCCCCCAACTGTGTAACAATAATTCTGCTTTTTCACTAATTAATGAAACTTCTGTACCGTTGTTTTATAGTCATTGAACCTTCTGCAGAGAAGACGGTGACAGTTGAATTTGTTGTGCTATATTTGTAAAGGATCCCTCTGACCTCTGACCTCTCGATATTTGCAGGACGGTCAGGGTCAGAGGTCGAGGGATCTTTACAATATGCACAAATTAACTGTTTACCGTTTCTTGAGAGTTTAATGACTATAAAACAAGGTAAGAAGTTTCTTAATTAGTGAAAAGGCGATTATTGTTACACAGTTGGGGGGGGGGGGGGGTCTTCTCACTGCTCAGGAGGAAATCCAGGTGAGACTGGCGACATCAGGACGTTGAACGCGCAAGTGCAATGGACGTGCAGTCACCAACTGACACCAACCACACACACACACACAACACACAAACCATTCATGTAGTGAGCAGTTAAATGAGGTCAAGGTAACAAAAAAAGTTTGTTGGCAACTTTCAAGTTTCTTAACATTTCAGTAGATAAAAACGCGTTTTAAGGATGTGACGGTTTAATTGAATGTTAGCAGTTTTTTTGTTTTATTTATTATTTCTCCCTCTTTCGAAGTTATGTTGTTGTCATCATCAATTCTCAGCTTGCTCACAGTTCCCAATAAAAACTGACCCAGTGTTTACTGTCAACTTCACCCAAAACATGTTTGAGGGACAGAAACAACGGAGAGGAAACGATGAACTGACCCTTAGTACAATATCTGGATATTTATGTAATTAATTTATTCTGTTCACACAAAGAATTGTTATTTTTATTGTTAGGCTCCTGTGTTGTAAACAGTAAGGTGAACACACTTATAATACATTTTTCAATAAAACCTTCAATCACAGCCAAACAATTAATGAGACATACAGGCACAACATCTTTTTACAGGCTCATCAATTGGTAACATTTTTGGCTATTTTTGTTCTTTCAGATAGTGAAAGAAAAATACCATTCAGGTTTTAAATTTTCTCTAATTGTCCACTCCATGCCGTTGTACAATAAACTGATTTTACACATAACAAAAGTCAGATTCTGGTTATCTGGTTTTAACTGTAATGAAAACGGTTGACTTCGCAGGCAGCCCGTGTTACTCCGTGTTCGCAGACTGCAGGCGAAGTTTCTTGTGATCCGCCGGCGAAGCGTGAGCCACCGGACCTGCAGGAGGCAGGCAACTTCCGGTTAAGCACAACTGAAGGTAAAGTTAAAACAGGTGTTAAGATGCTCATTGGGTATTATATTTTAATACAATACATAAATATTAATGTTAATACAGAGAAATATAACAAGAGTCGACACAAGTAGTTATCAAATCTCACAGCAGATATTTTTTCTTTTACAGCTGCTGATTTTTAAAAAAAAACATCGATGTCTTTTAAATATGAATGAATTATTAATTAACTAGACCTAATAACGATATCGTGTATTAAGTTAAGAATAAATCTTTTTCAGGACTTTTTATATCTAATTACTTATGAACTTCTTTCACTGAAACTTTATCTGTGTTGTTTTATGCGCCCTTGTGGACAACAGTGTTTATACCTACTTGTAAAGGGTTATGTCTAGACGTTATTTGAAAAGTGTCCTGAGTAAACTTCTGTTATGAATTGAGGCCTGTATAATAAATTTAATTCAATTGAATTGTTTCTTTTGATTTCAAAGGGAATCGACCAGTTTGCGAATTAAGAAGTAACTATACGAGGCGTCCTGTAACTACGCTGTTTGAAGTCTAAAATATATTTTTAATTCTTGTAGGTGTGTTTAAGTGAAAGATTCTAAGGAAGAGGATTAGGGCCCATGGATGAAGACCTCCAGTTAGCCAACACACCTGGTTAAGCCCGGCATTTGGGGGGACTTAGGGCCACATGAATTGTATTTGTGTTCTGGAGTTTAAAAAGTTAAAGAGGTTAAATAAGTTTAAATTTTAGAGTCTTAATTCATTCGTTTTTTTAAATCCTTAACAAGGTTGTCTCAGGCAGAATGATGATAAATAGTAAAAAGGGCTGTACTTTAATTTCTTAGTCTTCTTCTCCTTAAAATTCAAATTTAACACATTTTATACAATTCTGACTATTCTGAGTAACGTTTTTTTCACGCTACTTGCTTCTCACATTGTGACTGTCTGTTCTTGTTCTGACATTTAAATGACATGAAGTATTTGATGTTTTCCACAGAAGACAACGCTACAGGATGAGACAGTTGATTCTTTCTGATGGAATCTCGATGGTTCAATTGTTGCTTTTAAAGGTTACGGCCGCCCCGAATGTGACAGCAAAGCCATCCTGAACAAAACATGACAGTTATGTAAGATGCGTGACATGTTAAATCAGCGCCGCGACGGGGGCCGAGCAGGGGCCTCTGAACTAACGGGCTGCGTGGTTTAAGAGTCTGCTTGATGGACGAACTTGACCCCCCAATAAAAAAAACAAGTGAACCAAATTTTATATTTTTAATGTATCTTGTTTTTTTTATCAGATAATATTTGATTGAGGAGAATTCTTTATTTAACTATAATACATTTTGTTTAATTTATATCCCAAAATATAATTTTATTTTTACGACTCAGGTTGCCCAGGTATTGGGAGGCGACCACGCCTGAAATAAAGACAGCCCCCCTTTGAGCATTGAAGTCAGTGTCCCTCAGTTCATTTCTTCAGGTATCTCAATTCTGAGATTACCTTCAACCTTGGGCTTCGATATGATCCATATTTAAGAGATAATCTCTAGATGTATGTGGATCAAACACGGGAACACCATCTGTGCCTCTAAGCTTTTTGGGAGGGAGGAGTTTGGGGAGAATATATTATAGAATTTGCCTTTTAGAACCTAAGGTAGTATTCATAGGGGCCAGGAGGAAGTCGCTACGTATAACCTTACTCTCTGCTACAACCTGATTATACACATGATTAATAATATGGAACTTTCAGTATTAAATGAGGTTATTTTACTTTTAAATTCATATATAACAATGAGCTAAATTGCAGGCTGACTCATTATCGAAGTCATATGATAAGAAACTTCATAATTTTCTCTGATGAGGAGCAGGTGACACCAGCGCTCTGTTTGCTGTGGTGATTTATGTGCTTTATTGATCGGTGCAGCAGTCGTCAGGTCAGTGATCGGGCTGTGCGTCAATACATCATGTTGGTGTGTTAAGGTTGTCTGTAAGGTAGTTCGTTACTCACCCGTCACCACAGATGAGTCATGCAGGAACAACTGAACGAGCGTCTTCGGATTCTCGTGACCATGAAGTTACATACTGGAGGAGAGACAGAGGGACAGCAGAGCCTTGAGCAAGGCATAACATTGCTGGGTCGGTTGACTCCGTGCAGGTGCTGCATATTCTACTGGTTTCATTTGGTTTAGAAGTTCATACATTAAATGTAAAAAATATACCAGATTTCACTTGCTTTTAAAATTTTAAAATAATAATCAATACAACCGAACTGAAGACATGATAAAGAAATGTAAACTATCTGGATGTGATGGATATTAAAGGAGGGGGGGGGGGGGGGGTACGATGAACTGAGGAGATATCATCTGCTCTTACCATTAGAAGACTTTGTTGTACAATTTAAATCCCTACAAGGATTTTTAACTCAGTGAAACTTTTGCTGCTGTCTCGAGCCGTTGGAAGAGAATTAATGTTGTTATAGATTAAGCAGGTACTTTTAGCTCTGATGGGATTTACGTGTACTTGTCAATGATATAACTTGTAAATGATTATTTGTGTTATAAGGTAAAAACGATCATCTTTAGAACGTTTTAGGGAGGCTCAATTACGTCAGTTTGCATAATGAGTACTTGTTGACTTTTAATCTTTAGTACATTTGCTGTAACTTGTTATCCATACGTACTTTGAAAACAATCATGATGCTTTTGGTTTCTTGTAAATCGTTTGTGTGGGTATATAATGGCTGTTGTGCAGAGGATCAAAGTACTGTAGAGATGTGGTATTGATAGCCGAGGTGTTTCGTGAACATTCATTAAAAGGCAGGAACGTTTTCTGTCTTTCTTTTGCGGTCTATTTAAGAATGGTTTTATTGTCATCAGGAAAAAGGAGGAAACTGTGCAGAGTTCAGCTAAACGCGGGGTTCAGGGTTCTACTTGAGCCACTGTAATACAGAATTAAAAGACTATATGAAACAGAGTGAGTTTTAACTGCATTTAGATAAAAATGTTGAAATGTTTCAGTTACAAAACACGTGTCTGGCGTTCGGCCAACCTCGACCACTGACGGGGGGCTGTGGATCTTTTTTTTGCTATGTACGCGGTGACTCAGGTGGGGCTCTGACCAGTTACATAATGCTCATCAACAGTTTCGTCACCCCTCATTCGGCGAAACCGATCGTGTTGATTCCTGGTCCAGGAGTCAACGGCACGCAAATTCAGTCTGTACAGAGAATAGTCTGACTCAAAACGGCTCAGTCGATTTTCAAGAACGAAATTTAGATCAATGTTTGTATTCAACAATAGTTCAAAATGTAAGTATGTCTGACGGGCACCATACACAGAGGTACACACAAACCAACACACAACACACAAAACCAACAGAAACAAAACAAACGCAACACACACACACAGACAACACACAGAACACACACAAACACAACAACAAAAACAACAAAACAACAAACAAACACAAAGAACACACCAAACAACACACAACACACAACCAACACGACATACACCACAGCAACAACAACGACACACAAAACACAAAACAACACACACACCACAAAGCACCATAAAATCCCTAGATGCAAGTGTTTCGGAAAGCATATGTTTGACACCACAGAACAAAACAAAATCTTAATTTTT